ATTCAGTTGTGCGTTATTCTTGATAAATTATTCAGCTTCAATTGAGTACCACTCACTGAATGTTCCAAGAATACACCTTCTCAAATCGTCATTTAACGAACTCAATTACTGCTTTTTCTAGGCTAAACTTCAAATTTGCATTGCTTGAGTTTTCGAAGTGCTATTCCCAAGTACACCGTACAAAGATGCATTTTTTGTTGCTGTCGAAAACGAAATCCAAAGTTACCTTATCAACTTTGAGTGGAAACATTTGAATCTCGAGATTGAAGTGCGGATTCGATATTGATGGTTGTGACGGAATATTGATTGCAGCTTACAGAGCCTAATCCTGCATGCTTGCTTCTTTCTGCAATCATCGAACCAACAATGAACCTTCAAAAACGAACACACTTTTGTTTTTGCAAGCAACTGAAGCGATGAACATTTCAGACACAAAAAAAACGGACTTCATTTCATTCGTTCAACCTGAATGGTTCATTACATTATAATACTCGCCCAGCATGCATCGTTCCTTAGGCTTGAACATTTTTTAATGCATTTTTACATAGCAATCAAAATAGCTTGAAAGTAGATAGCGTGTTTCACTGATGGTGCTTCGATGATCACATCAGATAAGGAACTGAGAAATGTATTCTTCTGAAGTAAACCTTCAACGTAAACTGCTACTTACTCTAGACAGCTTACATGCGGAGGTCGTATTGAATGACGACGTATCCAGTCTNAACGTAAACTGCTACTTACTCTAGACAGCTTACATGCGGAGGTCGTATTGAATGACGACGTATCCAGTCTGCGACTGTCCACTCTGTGGCTAAAAGCTACTATCGTAATAATACGTCCAGTCAGTTTATTTATTCATTTGTTTATCTGGACCTAGAACGAGGTGTTTAATCGGAACCGTATAAAATTCTGAAGTATTGGCGAAAAATGTGAAAAAAACGAGTTAACTGGAGTGGGATTTAGTGAACAGAGGTGCGGTGATGTGCATTCGGGCAATTCACAAGTGATATTGCAATCGTATGAAAGTTTATGAAAGGATTTGATGGAGAGTGCTCGAAGGATCAGTTGGAAATCCCTTCTAACAAATCATTTAAGCATTAAAAGCGACTAATATCGTTTTGAATGTTTCACAAAAAATGTTCCACTTAAAAACGACGTCTTTGGACAGACTTAGATTTGTGAACACAGTAAAAAAACATCAATGAATTATTGAATTATTCAGCGATATTAGCACATGCTCATTTTGCAAATTAAAACGTCGTTTTCACTGATGGATAGGTCAAATTTTGACATTAATGTTTTTTCGTTTAACATGGCTCGTTCATACGAACTGATAATGAATGCCATTCAAATCACCTCTGTGCTCAACAGTTTTTCTGGAATAGCGAGGTTGTTCTGCAGTTGAATGCAAATCTGCTCAACACAAACGTTCACTTTTCGATGGAATCATAATGTGTTCAATTTCAAAGGATTCTCCAGAGACGAACTCTGATCGATCAGATTAGGAAACAAACGCGAATTTAGGGAAAAATTTTGTTGAATTGTGAATATTGGAAAGGCCATCGTGCTTATCTAAGACTAAGTCACACTTTGGATAAACGAATCAAACGCAAACTACTGGAATATCACTTGACGGACATACTCGGTTTGTAATGACCATAAAATATGCCTGCGAATTCAGTTTATACGAATGATGCGGAGGGATTAAAAAGTTCGCAGTAGCATTTGATCGTGTTTAAGGGGTCTTGAACAACGTGCGGAATTATGAAGTGTTGCATTAAGTGGACACAATTGCAAATTAGTGGATTGATGGACGAGTGAAATAAATGAATTCTCAAATCGTTTGAAGGCGTGCGCAATCCAACGAATCGACAAGCCAAACTTTTCAGTCTAATAGTAGTTGCTGGGTTTCTTGCGGTGCATTATTCATTACTATCGAACATTGCTGTCGCCTACTCGTTTTAGTCAACCACTGGGCCCATTTTCATGTCGTGTCGTTCCTTTTCACCTATCCTTTTGCATCTCCCTATTCCACTTCCTCTTTCTGCTACTTAACCTATTTATCGTAATTGCTTATTTCCAGTAGACTGATTGCTAAATAATATTGAAGGCTCCATTTGTTACCATTCATTACCCGAATCAATACACACAATCACTCCAAACGGAACACTTCATTTGAAACTGAGTAAAGTCAAAATATTTTCCGATCACGCACACTGAACATTTTCACTTTGGCAGATATTTATAACAATTGATAAAACTATGCACAGGTAAACGTGGTGTACGGAGTATCATAATTCCATTTGAGTCTTTCTGGAGATCGGTTCAGCTCCATCATTCAAAGGGTTTGAGTAAATAGTTTCAGCTATATCACGTAGTAATTTCTTTGGTCAGAAAAATTTTCGATTACCCGTGAAACTTTGTGTTTATATGATGAGCGATTGCATGGAATAGTGGGTAATGTTATCAGTGATGAACACTCGATACCGCACAAATGAACTGAGAGCTCAGAAAAAAATCCATGACCATCTTCGCATCAAATGCTCCNTTTGATGATTTCATCAGATCGTTTGCTGTTGCGGTAACTTGAAAATTTTCTCGAATGCAGCAGCTTTTGGCCAACATGAGAATTACTCTAGGGACAAGTTTATGATCGTGTTGCATGGTTGCGTGAGCGTTTTGTGAATGCTGTTTGGCAGTTAAATATCCACAGTTAATGCAGTAGTATCGCACGGATGAAATTCATTATTATGAACATTTATGGCGCACACACACACTTATGAGTTGCGAGTAATGATGGGTTGTTTCTTATGTGGTCAACAAAGCGATTGATATTTTATTGCTGTGAGGTGGATTCGGAATTGCTGCTTGAGCATTATGAAAACCTATTATTAGACCTATTATTACTCTACTGCTAAGTATTAGGATTTGACTTACGTCGTGGTTGTTTTCTGTGCATTTTATTAGAGTTTGTAGTATTCCTTTCGAGAGCATTCTTTCTCAGTAGGATCGAATATGATCTAGCTTATGGTGTTAAGCAATCATCAAATAGGTTCCAACAAAGACTGAGAAATTGCATTCATGTTCCGCTATAATGTCATATATTTATCACATTAAACGCATGATTACCTGCATTCATATTGTATGCATGCATAAATCGCTTCTGCGCCAGATAATGGCGGCGATATGTTTGGCATGCCCACTTCCTTCATTCACCTGCATCAATACTCATTCAGAAATTCAATAAATCCTTGGCACTGTGCTATTCTAACAACGAACGATGTACATTTTCATCATCAATATATGCTGGAATATATATTCAGATGTTAACGACCATAACACTGATTATTAATGCTAATGAATATCGAATTAATTTTCATCATGATTGTATTGCTGCCAGCAAAAGGCATTGAACAATGTCATTGAGCATTTGATTAGCACGTTATTATTGTCCCCATCGTCTTCTTAATTACGACGATTACGAAAACTCGAGAGACTCTCCTAATGAATTTTTTTTGCATGTAATTACTACCTTATGATATAATCTATTTATGCGATGCATACAATTTGTTGCCAATGTGCAGAAATGATGAGCATTCCACTCAATACTACAACTGAATCGCTCTGACGAGAAACATGTCTAACGTTCATCAGCAATGAAGGTAATAGTTTTACGTATTGTCACAAATAACATTCATTGAGTCAAAAAGTAGATTTCGGAATTCAGCAACTTTCTGACCGTCAACGATTCGTATTTCTTGCGAATATTTTTCGATCTTTCAACAAAGTCCGCTAAATGAATAGATCATAGATTGATCTACTCACATAGAGTGCTCATCAAACTTTCCGTCTTCAATGGGTTGTTGTTACTGCTGTTNCTGATTTAAAAAAAGGATCTGCAGATGTGTGATAACGCCACTGAAAAGTTGATTGTGAGTAGATTGTGGTTAGTCGGAATAATTGGAACGTCACTGGCAATGTTTGGAGTGATATCAAATGCACTGCTGGCTGTTCTCTTCTTATCTCATTTGAATTATCGCAATTCACCGTTCTTCTTCCTTGGATTTGTTGCATTTTACGATACACTTCTCGATTTCACGTATATCATTCTACTGGTTAGTTCACCTCATCTTCGGTCGTTCACCTCTCAATACACTATATAAACGCAATTGCAATGACGCAACTAGATGAGGACGTTTATATGTGTGGAAATTCTAAGAAATCACTTGAGCTAATTGATGAACTAACGAACATCTGTGAAGAAATTATTATTTGCACATGTTCACGATCATGCTTAAATGAAAATCCCTATCGGGGATACTCATTCATTTATAGCCTATACCGACTATAGCCGAATATCTGGATGATTTGCCGATGTATCATTTCTGGCTGGAGTACGTTAGACCTGGATATTTCCTTGGTCAAATTTCGAAAATCTCTTCGGTATTATGCCTTATCGTTGCATCATTCGAACGTTACTTTATCACCAAACACTGGACATTCACTGGATTTGAGCAGCGCACACGATGGCTCATCCTTATTTTTGTTGTTCTTCTGGCCATCTCGGTGAAACTCACCACATTTACGGTTGGTTTTCTCCGTTCCTCTTCGCTTAGCTAAATCTCCGGATAAACAGCCTCGAAGTTTTCTCCTTATACAATGCGTGGTATTGCACTTGCGACAATATTTGCGACAATGTTTTGTCTTCATTCGATTTCACATGTCCATTTTATCAGAGAGTCTGTCAAGCACGATTCTCTGTCCTTCCATTTATAGCCTCATAAAAAAATGTTTTTTCTCTCCTTTTCTACTTCCTGACAATCAAATGAAGTTCAAATTTGTAAATTACGAACAGTTTTCGCCGGTCAATCACATTCGTCAATGAATTTCTATCGTCTTTGCATCGAATCGACAGCTCCTTTCGCATTTTAAATCTTCCAAAGCAATCAAAACGGTGACTTTTTTCGACTTCCATGATAGTACAACACTAATTCGATCATTGATTTTTTTGTTTGCATTATTCTATCACCAACGCGCCACGCTATCAAAAGATAGCCATAAATCACGGAATTTTATGTATTATTCAGATGTGTGCTCGAAGCTATTCGCNTTACAGCTGTAAAATTGTTTTTGAATATTGTCCCTCTTGAGAGTTGTACACAAATAGCTCATAAAACCAATAACCACCAGATGCATGAATGGAAAATATGTAAACCTTTCATAGAGACAGATGAGTGCTTTCCGAGACGAGTATATTTCGTCCTCTGCCAATCGAATTATACTCATGTTTACTGTGAGGTTTCTGAATAGGCTTGTGATCAGGCTCGTGGAACGATCCATACTCTTAAAAGTGATTAAAATGCAGCCTTGTGAACTTATAAACTCGTACGCGGTTTGATGGGTGCCAAACAAATGTAACTGAGCAAATGAATGAATAATTACCAAAACAATTTACTTTCTAGAATGATTCACTCTCCAATAGAACTTCCTCCAACTAGCTTTACCAGGAATTTTGAACCGTGAATATTTCGATTTCATGCATTCATTCACCTTCTCGGCTCGTCGATTAACTCAGATGACTACTCAGAAATACGCTTCAAATAGTTCTGCGAATCGTCTTCAATGAGCTCACAATTATACGCTGATGATTATTTACTAATGCGTTTGCATGTTCAGCAACCATATAAATTTCAGAATTCAATGCATGAAACAACTGAGTGTTTATGAATCGCAATATGCGCATAAATATGAGACACCCATTAACACCCATTAACACACGTTCTTATAGATGTGTTACGTACTTATTTAGCTATGCAACAGGTTTTTTACTGAAAAACCATTCTTGAGTGCATTACATTCAAATGACGTTATTGGTTCGGTTCTCTCACAACAAATTTGAATGCACTTTTGAGAACTCCTCAGAATTTCAAATCCAAATGATGTCGCTTGATATTTGGTGAACGTTTTCTAATCATCCTCATAACAGTCGGGCATTTTCAACCGAATACACGCATAAACTCAGACAATTCATTATCCTAAAGGTCTGATTCCTTGATTGATAGAATCACAATTTTGTTTGCAACAAAATTTACACTGATCTATCGACATAAGGAACTTGTCCAGCTCGCATATTTGTATTTTGTAAACGTCTGATAATTAATCTATTCATTTTCCCAGTCAGTCAATAGATAATAATGCAGGAATATACTACCAACAAGTTTATCACTAGAACTTCATCAGTTAAGCCATTAAATTCTTGCAATAAACTTCATGATGAGAAACATTTTATGGATGACGATAACGGCCATCTATCAAAAATTTGTTTCCGTGGTCACATTCATCAAATAGAGGTACCAACAAATGATATGACAAATCAAAACTTGTAATTAGCAGATCAGCATTGAGCAGTTTTTACGCTGAAATACACCAAGGTGGATGTGCTGCTGCTTTAAGAAGGTGTTTTTTGAAGGATATTACAATTGTGAAAATGCCGATGTGTGATCGATTTCGAAAATATAAAGTGGGCAATCTCAGCGACGATGTTCTGATGTCGGGAATTTTCAATATTGTCACAATTTTTTTGCCTTTTATAACGCTCGTCTTCTTGAACGGCGGTATTGTTATGATGCTGAACAAGCAACACATACAGGTTCGACGAAATTTGCCACGTTTCTTATTGTTGACTAGGGTTTTTATTCAATACAAAATATTAAGGGTGTGTGTATCGAACAAATTTTGAAGCGAGACGAGACGACATGAATCAACTCATCTTCGCCTTA